CTTAATATATTACTTGTTGGATCCAAGAGATCCATTTGGACCCACAACTTCTAGATATAATAAGAATCTCCTAAAGGAAATGCTAGTAGAGTCTGTGACAAGCCTTCTCGTGATCTAACTTCTAAATAATGGCAAATATGTCCATACGCTGCAATGGGACCCAATACGTTTTGGATTCGGATTTTGTACCATCACTGGATGTGACTCGTTCTAACTCATACGGGCACGGGTCATGACATATGTGACATGGAGAGCGCAAGGGTATTTTGAGAGTAAAAAGAACAGACAGAAAGAAACTATTCGCTCTTTAATATTAAAGTAGTTCTTTCTCCTTATTCCTAGCAACCCCATGAATAATCTCGCAAGCTGCAACAAGGTTTTCCAAAATATATCTGCATTTCATAAAAGCAGTTTGATTTTGAGAAACCAACCTATGTCAAATCTTGATCAACATGTAATTCAGGTCTTTTGAAGGAAAATAATTCTTAAGCTACGGCTAGTAAGACTGATGGGTCTGATTTTTTTCTCAAGTTTTTAGCATCAAATTCCGTTGGAATTAGGGTGTAATATAATAACAACATAACTCGATCCTAGAGAGATTTAAGTTTGGTGCTCAAACTCTCGCGCTAGGGACACAAGATCATCCTTGACCACTTCGCAAAAACGCTGATAAAAAAATGAAGGAAAAACCTGTTAGGGACACATGATCATCCTTGACTTGCGCTAGTAGATGATAAACAAATAAATAAACAAGGTCGAACTGATAAAAAATGAAGGAAAAACATGTTCACTACCGGAAACAGAGAATTTGCCGTGTGCCATAGGCACTCAGCAAAGACCAAAAAACACTCGGCAAAGGCTTTACCGAGTGTAACACTCGGCAAACAGGACACGGCATCTACAGAGTCGGCAAACAGCTATTTGCCGAGTGTTTTTTATCGCGCACTCGGCAAATGGTTTGCCGAGTGTCAAATTTGACACTCGGCAAAAAAAAGTGGTTTGCCGAATGTTTTTCCAAAATACACTCGGCGAAGGATTATTGTTTGCCGAGTGTTTTTGGAATTACACTCGGCAAACCTATTTTCCAAAGAATTTTTTTTCTTAGCATATCTTTATTCTTTGTTTTGCGAGTGTTTTTGAAATTACACTCGGCAAACCTATTTTTCAAGAAAAAAAATATTTGCGTGTCTTGATTGGAATTCTAGCAGCTCTCGATTCGTAAGGTAAGGATACTTCCTGCTCACATAATGGACATAAATAACAAACAAAACAATCATCCCTACAATCTTATTCAGATCCATTGTTCACATTCACGGCAGTCCCTCTTCCTCCCATGCATCCATCTCAAGCATATTTGCGGTGCCAAGACCGCAAGAATCAAGAACACCCCACCATGTCAGCCCGCCAACACAGTTGACAAGCAACGAGACACTCACATCACAAAGAAAGGCGGTCTACTCACTGGGTCGATTGATGGTGATGAGGCCAGTGTTGTTGAAGAAGCGATTCCATGAGTTTCTGCCCCAGCCTGGTAGTAGGCGTTTCATGGCCACCGACGCCCATGGACGGAGGCCTTCGTCTGCCGGGCGCAGCGCGCTGGCGTTCTCGGATGGCGCCACACGCTCTCGGAGCAGGTGAACTCAGGTTAAGAAAGTTGATAGCTACAATTATTGTTGTTAAAGAATACATTGTGTTGTTGATCTGAAAATTAAGGCTGCCGGTTGCCGGAACAAATTGCCGCTCACCGGCAATGGTGACTCACGCATGAAACAAATTTAGAGCAAAGCTAGGCATGCACTAGAGAGGAATCTGCAGGATGCTTACCTTGTCTTAGTCTTTTGCTGCTGCTGCTATTTGAAAACCGGGGAAGACATGAACAACGGCCATTTATCACTTGCTGTACATATAGAGACATAGAAGGAACAGATGGGCACAAGCTACTGGAAAAGAGAGATGAGAAAAATGTCGATTCGGAAAAACTAGCAGTAACAAACTCGAACTTTTCATGCCATGAGTTACAAATAAAATAGTGAAGGAGAGTACGTCCAACATGAAGCAAAACGGTCACGCAATAAAGCAGCAGTAACAAAGGCACAATTAAAAAAACAATGCTATTGCAACAAGTGCTAAGAAGATACTTCTAAGTACACGCACGAACGGCTAGCTCACAAGCATGTAAGTTATGATGGTACTTAATGACATAGTAAAACAAATGAAAGTCCAATGTCTGTAGATTTCTTACAACAATAATATAATGCATGCAGTTTGGAAAGTGTGAATGTTAAACCAGACCTGAAACTTTAGTTTCAGTATGTGTAACTGAACTGAACCAACCCCAAACTGCAACAGCTTCCTTTTGTGACCAAGCACATAGTTTATCCAAGAAACATCTACCTGTAGGAACACAATAGCACATGATATCAACAAAAGAGTTGCTTGCATGAACAACACAACAGGAAGCACTTCTAGGCACTTATTATCAACCAGCCTATATAGCATGCTAAAATTTGGCTTAAGAATAACTGAACAGTAAGAAACAGTAAGAAAGCTTTAGTACTCCTGCATACATACTTAGGTACTTTCAGAGAAAAAACAACTATTGCAGTACTATAACCGGCAAAGTTGTTATATTCCTTTAGTTTCACCATACTGGACAGCAGCAAAATAAGTGTTTAAACATTTAGTAGTTAGCCACAAGTTTACATTTCTATAGACAAGACAATTTGCAGAACGAATCATACCATAACTTAGTCAGATTTCATGCGTTGATGAGAGAATATATGTACAAGTTTAACATGAGAAATGCCCTTGCATTTAGAATACCAAATATATCACCTTTTCATATCTTCAAAGAGCGATCCTCACTGCCATTTGCATAACTGGGAGCTAGTAAAACCTACAATCTTAACAAAGCAGCGAGAAATAAAATGTTAGAAAATAGTCTGCTCGGTATGATTAGTGACTATTACAGAAAATAATCTGGCAAGAAAATGTCAAAACTGCAAACTATATGTGATGAGCAATAGATTAGCGGCTGAACATGGAGTACTTAGTTTCATTTTTGCATTAGGGAGTCAAGTATGATGTAGAAACTAAACAAGTGGAAAGCATAGAAACACAAAAGGCGCAGAAGACTGTCCAGCATAGAGCTCTTTAGTTTTCAGTAAACTGCTACTAGTAGAATTTCATAGACCATAGAAAATAATTACTCATTTGTACTTAACAGACGAGACATAGCAATGTTCCTGGGATCTTGCACGTGGAGGCAAGTTGATTCAGCTAAGCTTGAATTGCCTAAGATTTGATATGATGAGGAAGGGAAGTGCGTAAGTATGAACTCTATGCACACCAACAAACAGTGTTTTCAACCAGGTGCCAGATGATGTAGGGTGTTGAGAGCACTTATTCGGCTTAGAGAAGTACATAAGCTTACATTAAGTTTCTAGATTTCACATAGCAGATAAATTACATCAGAAACTTAATAAAATATTTGTATCAAGCACTCCAAGACAAAACGAAAACACCGCTGCGAGTTATAAGAAACATATATGATAAAAAGAAGAAAAAAAATTACTAGAAAGATTTGTTCTTCTACAACTACTGAAACACTATCAAGCCATCAAGGTAACAGGCTAAAATACGTTACTACGATATATTACAAAATTTTACACAATAGCTAGTCATTTGGGAAGAAGAAGGAGGGAGGGAGGGGGGGCGGATCATGTCACCGGGGGGGGAAGGAGAGGGAGGGCGGATCTGGGGAAGAAGAAGGGAGGGGCTAGATCCACGGCGGAAGAAGAAGGGGAGGAGGGAGGGGCGGATCCATGTCGCAAGGTGGGAAGAAGAAGGGAGGGGCGGATCCGGGGAAGAAGAAGGGGAGGGAGGGGGCGGGGTGCTGGGGAGGGGAGGCCGGAGCGCGGGTGCGGAGGAGTGGGGCTGGGGAGGGGAGGGGCGGATTTTAGGGGCGGACGGTTTTTTTCTATATTTTTTGGGGGTTGCCGAGCGTTGTTTCTGGACACTCAGCAAACCTGCTTTTTTACCGAGTGTTTTTCTATGACACTCGGTAAACTTCATGTTTACCGAGTGTTTTTTGTTTGACACTCGACAAACTACCTTCTTTGCTGAGTGTTTTTTTTTATCGAGTGTTTTTAGTATAGCACCCGGTAAATAATTTGTTTGCCGAGTGCCCGAAGAAATACACTCGGCAAACGTAAAAACACTCGGTAAATTTGACGTTTCCGGTAGTGGTTAGGGACACAAGATCATCCTTGACCTGCGCTAGTAGATGATAAACAAATAGATAAACAAGGTCGTTCAGATTCTAACTATATCAACCTGTTAGCAGCCGCAACTAATCTAAAGGGCCGGGTTGCCGGACGTTAGGCACTAAGAAGCTAAGCGGCCATTACAACTAACCGGATGCTGCTGTCCGCAGCTACTGACTGAGACTTTTGAAACCATTTTTCTGCAGCAAGGTCCTTCAGATATGATGTTTGGTTCTCACATACCGAGTTATCCTTCAGCACCGAGGGCATATCAATCCACACATGCTTTCAGATGATCATCAAAGCAACCGAGTTACTCGTAGTAGCCTAATAAAGTAATTAATAGGAAAAATGAGGACGGAATAAACACAACTGGCTAATATAATAGCTGCTAAGCAAAAGCTAGGTGAGCGTAAAGAAAGAAGGATAAGAAGACTGACCCGGTCCTCCCCACCATACAACGCACGTCGCAGTACCGCACCATGCAACCTCCACTCCCTCCTTTTCTTTTTCCACAACACGAGAAAAGAAAATTCTTTGGCAATCAAGCGTGATACTAAACCATGCAACACCATGTCAACTCTCGACAACAATAACGCGCATCCAGCCTGCTGCCATCCTATATAAAACCTGACGTTACCTACCTGTGTTCTCACTCTGTTCTTGTAGCAGCAGACACACCTTTTTCGAAGCCTACATACCCTGAAGAGAGAAGAGAGAGTCACTCCCTCCGTCATGGCCGAGTTAGCCCCCGGGTTCCGCTTCTACCCAACGGAGGAGGAGCTCATCTGCTTCTACCTCCGGAACAAGCTCAGCGGCACCCGCCGCGGCGACATCGAGCGCGTCATCCCCGTCGCCGACGTCTGCGCCCTTGACCCATGGGAGCTCTCAGGCATGGCACAAGCGCAGTCCATCGATCGAGTGCATTTCTTTGGTTAGTTAGGTAGCTAATAACGATGGTTCGATTATTGCATCCATGCAGAGGCGGCGCACCTTGGCGCGTACTCCGGCAACGAGGAGCCGTGGTTCTACTTCTGCCCGCGGCAGGAGCGCGAGGCGCGGGGCGGGCGCCCGAGCCGGACCACGCCGTCGGGCTACTGGAAGGCAGCGGGCACCCCGGGGTTGGTCTACGCCGCCGACGGCCGCCCCATCGGGACCAAGAAGACCATGGTGTTCTACCGCGGCCGCGCACCGGCGGGGGCCAAGACCAAGTGGAAGCTAAACGAGTACAAGGCTTTCGAGTACGAGTACGAGGACGATTCAGCTCCGGCGCCGCCGCCGAGCCATGCTCCCCAGGTAACCGATGGCTCCATCCAGCCGATAAGAGTCCCCAACACGCAACTTGCCTTAATGCCTGCTAGCTACTGGAATACTGTAGTCACACGAGTCGTGAGGGTACGCACAAGGGTGCGCGACTTGCGTCGTGCGATGCTGAAAGGTGCATGCATTGCTGTTTCTGTTTGTCTCTGCAGACGAGGAGCGAGTACAGCCTGTGCCGGCTCTACACCAAGTCCGGGTGCCCGCGGCAGTTCGACCGCCGGCCTAGCACTGTACCAGCCGCGGCGGGTGGCAGCGGCGGCGGCGAGAACCAGGCGCCGTCGTCGGCTGCGTTGCCAAACGGTGACCAAACGGGACAGAAGAGGAAAAGGGCTGCGCCGAGCGACGACGACACATATTCGAGTTACGACGACGGCGACGACGTCTCCACGCAGCAGCGGCTGCGGCTGGCACAGAGAGGGACCGGTGACGGTGAGGGGCTCATCGAGGACGACATGGCCGACTGGTCAGAGTTCTTGGACGACTGGATTTGATACTTTGGGTCGTCGCGCTACGAGTAAAAACATGCTCGAGCTCTTATTTTGCGATATTTCTGTTACAACAAGAAGATTTTTTTTTTTAGAATTCTTTACCCGATCGACTGCCAAAATATAGACTAGTCGTTGGGTATTAATTTTAGGAGATACTACCTTAAACTGTGGATCACCTGTTGTAATCTAAACTTACATACAACTTACAAGAACATTTTTTGAACTCAAAATGTGGACTAGACTTCAGATAAGCTAGTCAACTCTTGGGCTTTTTGCTGAACTTTTCCTTTTGATGCAGCGAGAGACCAAAACGCCACTTGTGTTTTGGCCATGCATATGCACACGAAGAATCTTTTCATTATTCCATGTGTCGTCCTTTTGTCTTCGATCGGGTCTTGAGGGCCCGTTTTGCAGTGATTTTGACGTCTTATTATGTTGTTAAAGGCGGACCAAACGTGCACAATATATGCTAACAGTAACAGGACTTCAATTCTCATATTGACTACCCGTTGAACTTTTGTGCAGAAGGAATGTACATATATATTTATTTCCCATCCATTTCATCTGGGCTGGGAAGCAGTCATGCTGACGAGCATCAACTGTTATGAATTCGTTGCCAGATTACTTCATTGCCATGTATTATCAGGATTCAGGACAAATGAATTCGGAGTTATATCTACTACTCTAGGACTGAAACATGAAAAATGTTCAGGAACGATAACAATATTTTTTTCGATATCATTTCTTGAATCACATTATTTATTCTTTTCTCATAAACAATCTCAGTAACAATAAAGCGGAAAATTAGAGTGGAATCGAAACGATTCAAATACACTAACATATATAGAGATGGAACGGAAACTTTCAGGAAAACATACTGTTGTATCAACTAGTAACCAATAACTATAGTCGGAAAGGTTGAATTATAGAACCATAAAGTCTACTCCGTGCTCGTTCAACCAACTTTTTATCTCAAAGAATTGGCAAGGGAGCTGTCCATTATATTAAAAAAAAACACTTAGAGGGTCGCCATACAAAGATGGACTATGGTACCACAATGATAAAAACTCGCCAACCCATGACAAAAGGTTCAAAAAAGAACCCTCAGCAGAGCGAAATGCTTACACCCATGAGAAACATACAACTTACTATGGGCTATTGATTGTACACAATATGAGTATATATAGTTGGATACCAAACCGTGGGAGAATTTGTGTCCCCTGGCTTCTCAGATATTGTTTACTACCGTTGGCCAATATGACAGTGACAAATGGCAGACAAAGATGCGGTTGCACCATCCCTATGTGGAGTCGTCCTTAACTCTTGAAGTAATCGATGGCATCGTAGGTTTCTATGTTTCCTCACTGTTCTCTCTTTCTCCCTCCAGCCTGTCCTTCACTCCTCATCCACAAAAATGGCGACAAAACACATCCACGCCGTTTCCCTCCCCTCTCTGATTCTGACAAATTGTCGTTGTCTCTACTACCACTTCTCCTTCACGCCCTAGCACATCACTACTCAATCCTTGCCTCACCCCCTTTGCCTTTTTGTAATTATCCAGAATGCATTTCTCTTGCTGAGCATGATCATCAAATGCATTGCATCATAAAAAAACTCTTATTCACAAAAGCTAAATGTTAACTATTGCGCAAACTAGAATTTATATGCACCGACGGATGGTGCTCTAGAGGCGCCAGACGGTCTAGATCGAAGCTACAGTGCCGAGATAGTCTTAGTCAACTAGAGTTGTGCTTTGGCAGACGGTCCAATAGGAACATTGGGCGGACCACCGGGACACAATGACACCTAGCACATGCAAGTTGTGAGTTGTCCGAGTTTGCCATGCTTTGGCCCCACATGTCAGTAGCACTCACCCCCCCACCCCCCAAGAACCAGCATAACATCAAACCCTGTCTCTTGCCATTCCCCATTTGAGTTGTCTCTCTACCAAGAAAGCAAGGAGGAGAAAGGAAGAAAAGGAAGGAGGAGGAGGCCAAGAGGCCTCCCAGAGCTGCAGCAACATCCCTATATGACCATCCATTTGCTAGGGTGGAGCAAGGAGTGCTCCCCTCTATAGCATTGGTGAAAAAGGATAGAAGAGCAAGAAGGAGCCCACCTCAGCCCTCTATGGCCCCAAGTTTGGATCTTACCAAGCTTCAATAAGTTCTTGGCCAATTCAAGAAGCTAACCTTAAAATTCATCCTAAAATCCCCACAACCATGGTAGGTTAGCCGTGGATAGCCAAGAGCTTCACACATGCAAAAACCCACCAATCACCTCCCTAGATGTACCTTAGGACCCTAGAACATCCAACAACAAATCTTGCACGAAGCCTCGGCTTGATCCATTCTTGATAAGCTTGAGATTTGACCTTGGTGTCTTCACCATGAACACCATACATTCCGGCAACGCATGTGGACGGCCTACCAGGACAAAATCCCCCACTAGAAACATAAAGGTTTCCGTCTAGAACCCCCAAACAATCCGATGGAATACCAGGATGGTTAGTATGCTCCTAGCCGAGCAACAGAGGCTCATGAGTGTAATGACACGATCCATGGGATCACCCAGATAGTCCTCAAGCAAACACTTCACCAACTAGAATCTTGTGAGTCTCTGTTGTGATCACATGGAAAGTCCATGTCACACCTCAAAATTTCCATTTCGGATGTGAACGGTTCACTAAATAAAATAAATAATTTTATTAGTTATTTTATTATTTTTGGATAAATAAAAATGGCTCTATAATTTTTCTACATTAATTTTCCTAAGGGTGTTGCATTCATACGGAATACATAATTTATTTTAATGAAAAGTAAAATTTGGTTAAGTCTCAAATAGGGTTTTTTATATTTTCCAAAAAAAATGTGCAAAATTATGCTTCAAAAATTCATTTTATAATATTTCAAAAGTAGTACATTTTAGTTCTCAAATTTGGCGTCTAAATAATTTTAAAACCATCATTTAAAATATAGTTAAAATGAGATTTAAATTAGAGATTTAATGATTTCCAAAAATGTAGTTTTTATGGTTTTTAATATGTGTGAGATGGTTGGAAAGCTAAATTGTTTAAATCTAGTTCATTTGAATGTCAATTTGCAAAACTGTAAAAACCTTCAAAATCCGCCTTAAGCCAAATCCAACTTTCTTGCCAGGCCAAGCCCAGCTAATTCTTCTGGCCCCTTCTCCTTTTTTCCTAGGCTATCGGCCTGTTAGCAGCCAGCCCATCTCAGCCCATAGCCGAGCACCTGCAACCATTTCCCGGTTCCCGCCAGTCTTCCGGTCGAGGGCTCCAACCGGTGCAGACCACCGACCACCCCCTCCCATGGCTCAAGTGGTTTGCAGTTTTGCACGTTTTGTGGCCTAGCAAACAAACATATGTTCTTCTCCCAGCACAGATTAGCAGATCACGACAGGAGTCATCCAGTCCATCTGGCTTTAGCATGTAAGCAGCTTAATTAGTCCACCGTATTGGAAAACAAATGTCCAAGGTATTTAGCAACACTCAGCTCTTCGCCTTTCCTTTATATTTTGTTTTCTTTTTTTATTAATTATATTTTCCTTTTTATACATATTTCATAGCAACTTTTTTATCTATGATCTCGACAGGATATTCATTTGAACCTTTTTTTTCTTGTGGCGCTATGCCACTTACATCCGCGAATTCTCAAAATCTAAATCTGGCTCACTAAACTTGTTAAATTATACACTACATGTCCATAACCCCTCAAGGATGCCTTCTGTCCTACATGGTAGCGCCAGCGTGGACACTGGGTGCACGTGATCCGTTGTGTGGACAATGAACCCATGCGCAAAAAGCACCAAGGTCCCTCCTTATCCCGGAATCTCAACTCATTTCCTTCTCCTCTTCAAGTTCATCGTTTGGGAGGCAAAGAGGTGAGCGTCAATGGAGCGGGGAGGAATCGCCAGTGAGTTTGGAAGGTTCCGCATGGGAGTGTTGAGATCCACCTGGCGAGTGTAGAATCCCATGGCAATAACGGTTAATTTGCACGATGGCACCGACTATGCATGAATCAAAGCTCCTAAGTGATTGTAGGATGTAGGGTTACACATATTATTCCATGAGTTTTTTTTGGTGGTGCCAAATTGTTCCAGATATTATTGGATTAGTTATATATGCATACATTGTGTTTCTTAATATTCCAAGGTGAGCGTGGCTTGTGTGTGTATGTGCATAAGGGAGATTTAATGATGGTGGTCTTTTGTAGAAACCATCGTTGTCGTCCACCGGAATCCTACAGATGGGCTCGGCTGGGTCGATGGCACTAAAAACAAAGAAGGATAGTTGCTTTTGCTTCCTTGCTAGTTGCTACATGAATCTCAATTACTAGCAATAATACCCTATGTAAAAAATAGGATATATGATAAATCGCGATGTTTAATGCCCTTGCAAACGTGTGTGTAATACATATTTGCTAAGTTTGGTTAGTCTTGCGAAATATTAAGATCATATAGCTATATTTCATTTCTGAGCTCATAATAACACAATAATACCCAAAACACTAACTGCTTACTGCTACGTCAAACAGATTGAACAAGAAACACAGGGTCTTGCATGGCTCAAATGAACAGGCCATCATGTTCCAAACTTGTATATATGAACTGGTCCAACCCAAGAAGAGCGTGGTTTCCTATCTATCGACTAGGGGTGTGTTTGGTTCCATGAATATCCATGAATACAAGGTGTTTGGTTGGATGGACAAACTAAACCTGAATATCCACACCAGAGAATATTCTAGGTAGATGTTGGATATCCTGGCCCTAAAAAATATGGCGGATGAGGATATCCACATGTTGAATAGCGCGTGTTTTCTGTGACAATTAGAGTAGTATAGTGCTAATTAACATATTTATTTTTAATTAGTGATTATAATGATAAAATTAGTGTCAGTGCATATTTATTAGGCTATAATTAGTTGTTATTATTTTTAAATAATAGATATAATTAGTCAATTATTCTCATCCATACAATCTGATCCATCCAACCAAACAGAAAAATAGTTCATCTTATCCATGCAACCAAACAGACATGATATCTATATCCCGAAATCCATAAATGACCGTATCTTATCACCCTTGTCCTCGAACCAACACACTGAAGTTTGTTCACCACGGAGAACTTGTTAGCAGATGGTGATGTCCCAACTCCCAAGGACACAGCGCCACCAAGCCGCCGAAGCTTTCCGCGTCGCCTGCCAACATCTCGAGGCTCCGCACGAGACGGTGCACTTCATCCCTTTCCCTTGCATGAGCACGCTGCGCCGGCGGTTCGTCGTCGTCGAAGTGGGTATACCTGCGGAGATAGCGGTAGGTGTCGAGCAGGACGGCGCATCCCTGTCGCTCAGCCTCCTTGAGGACGGACGCCCACATCGCCAGCGCTCCCCAGCCTTCCATGTCCCGGTCTAACATCATCTGGACGGCCCAGCCGATCCGACCACCCGCCAGGAGCGGCGAGAGCCTTCGCAGCAGCGGGACCCAGCCCTGGTAGTCCCTGTACTCCGGCGTGTCGGCGATCCACTCTTCCATCGGCCGCCGCCATGGCGCCACGCCGTATATCTCGCTCCTGATCTCGTCCTGGATCGCTTCCTTTATCCTGCCCAGCCGTCCCTCAGGCGCCGGTCGACGTTGTGGAATCATCAGCCATGCCCGTGTAGCAGGATTTTTTGGCCTCCGTTGCACGTCCTGTGGTCGTAGTAGCAGAGGCGGCAACGGCCTCTTTCTCGTCGCCGGCCAGCTCTGCTCTATCTTAGTCAAGATCTCGAGCTGGAGCAAGCGTATGACCTCCGCGACGTCCGGCGAGAGCTGCTGCAGCGTCTCCACGGCCACGTTCAGCCTCTCCGTGTCCTCGTCGCGGGAGAAGAGACTGTTTGCACGGTCGCGGATGCCCGGCTCCACGCCGGACAGAGCGTTCCCCGTGAAAAACAGAGCAGCACCAGACGACGCAGCGTCATATAGCTCGCTGGAGCTGCCGGTGGCTCTGGTGGTGTCCATGGCGCGCTGCCTGAAGAAGGCGAGCACCTCGTCGCCCTCTGAGGCGGTTTCCTTCAGCGCGTCGCGGCACTGGACGAGCCAGGTGTTCTCGACGGCGTGCTTCGCGGACACCTCGACCGTGCTGTGGATCTTGACGAGCAGCATCTCCAGCCGCTGCAGCTTCTCGTGCGGGGACTCTTCCTGGCTGTCGCCTCCGGTCACGGCGGCGGAGGCAGCGCGGCCCGGCTGCTCCGCCATGGCTTTAGCAGCCACCTTCAGCTTCCACGGGCTAGATTCTTGTCTCTGATACGAGCTACCATGTGATTCGGCGAGTTGTTTTAAGGATTTACCATTTGTGGCCCAAGGGCAACGGAAATGGAGGGTGGAAGAGGTTAGAGGAGGCTGAGAAAGGGTTAGCATTGCCAATCAAGAAGTGCAAACAAGTGTGCTGCAGCAATGGACATAGAATTAAGAAGGATTTGGTGTGTCCTTGAAGTGATCAGGTATAATGTAGTAGTATGAATAAATTTTTTTGCAAATACAATGACAGGATTATTTCTCTTCCAAGTTGCACATCGTTTCTATCGCCCATTTGTCCTCTATTTATGGATTCACACGATCAATGAATCACAAAGCAATATTCTAAAGATAATGCTTATTAACGAATTGGAATTAAAAAAAAATCTTGATCTTGCTCCTGGCATTGCATGAGGTAGAAATGGCAACTCTGTTTTGAAAAAAGAGAGTAAGTGGTCCTTGAATTTGTCCTGTGTTCGTATCTAGATCCCAGTACTTTCAAGATGTATTTTTGGCACCATGAACTTGCTAATTATACCACATGAGGTCCAAATCATAAGAACTTCACACATGGTGATTGTACAACAACAAATTATTACTACTCACTTATATAAGTCATCTCCTTACAAGTTGCCATCTATTTTCAGTTGTTAGTCTATCATTCCCTTACAAGCCAAACAAACAACCTCTTTGGTACATTGGCAAAGTTCCACAGCACCAAAGTATTTCATAGAAATTAAGAATATTCGTTGGCTCTTATAACACTGCCTTTACAAAATTGTTTCATAGAGAGTTTCTTCTCCATAGCACTTTCAGCCACTATCTGAAACTACTAGTTCAGCGTCAGTGAAGTACAACGTAAACATCAGTAGGAAAAAAAATCATTTCAGCTAGTGTGAGCTATGTAAAAGATCAATTGGAATAAAACATATCGATAAATAAACTGGTTAGATAATACGAAGAGCTAATTGGAATTTGACAGTATTAGCTTTAAGTTCTACAACAAAGACCTATTCACAGAAGAAAAACATAATAAGCTTAGCTTAAACTTAGATTTTGAGCAGTCAGAAGTCACTTAATGGTTCTATTGCAGAAACAGAATTGAGAAAGCCTGTATAGTGGACAGCTGCTAAATGGTAATGTGCATAAGTTGCAGTCCCACTGTCTGCCTAGTGCCTACAAGGCTACAACACACAAAATGAGATGCTAAAATTAAACTCTAAAGCGCACAATACCAGCACGAGCTGCAACATAAGCATCTGCAAGGCCAGGAAAACAGTCCTTGTGACAGTCGTTGAACTTCGATTTGAAAATATCCTTCGCAGTATTGTCATATTGCCTGCATACCCTTTGCAGGGTATTTCTTCATGGGTGGCTGTTCAGTATTGTCATATTGCCTGCAGATATTAATGTGGGTTACCTGATTATTATTTTTTCAATCGATCATGCAGTCATTAACAAAGGAGTTATCCAGACTCCAGAGATCTGAAAATTCAGAAGCTGCTCAAAACAGAGGGTGCCAGTACTGTAAACCCATAACGCACAGTATTACATATAGGAGGAAAAACCATAGAAATAGCATGCACATTCTACAAAGAAATATTTAGAGAATTACTTAAAATCACAAAACTGAATAAAATGGTAACAAAAAAGTGACTTCGATTGAAGAACAATTGCCTCCCTTATTTGATGGGCTTATTTACAGAAGAGGCATGTCCCTTGTATATGAGAGATCAATTCACAACTTAATCTTAGGCAGCAAGTCAAGACGGTAGTACAAAAGGGACATGTTCTCTCTCTATATATATTGTATGAAAAAAGAATGAACAAAAAACAAATTAGTATTCCCTCATTCGAAGTCGTCTCCCTACAGCTTGCCGTTTATTTTCAGTTGTTAGCATCTCATTTCCTTACAAACCAAACAGGCACCATCTCTGATCTCTGGTACATCGGCAGAGGTCCGCGTCACCCAAAACAGAAACTACTTGTTCAGTCTCATACAATGTCAGCATGCATCAGTAGAAACCAAAAATAAACATTCAGTTTTTTTTTTTTGAGCAGAATAAACATTCAGCTAGTAGACCTTTATTTTCGAGTCTCATGCCAGACCATGGGTTGGCCCACGAGCTAAAAATTAGGCCCGTGTTTGACTCAACTCTTGCCCCAGGCTAAAAATGACGGCCCACAGCTACCTCACGGGCTGAATGGGTGGAGTCGAGTTGCGTTTTTTCAAATCTAGCGACCCATGATTAGATCTAGTATGTAAAATTAGCCCAGCTCAGCACAAACAAACAAAAAATAACCGCGTCGCAAGTCGGCAACACGCGGTTCCACTCCAAACGTGGAGCTGTGTCACCGGATTCTGAATTTCTACAGGAATCAGAACAATATCTGAAGTCCCTATATATCTAGTCAAGGAATCAGATTCCAACCGGCCAAAGCCCAGCTCGAGTTCTCACGTACGGCGGCGAAGGGAATCTGCACGACGCGCGCGAACCTTCACCTCACCTGCGATCCGCGTTCGGTACGTGTAGTCGATCGAGTGGATCTCGACGGCCTCGAGCGATCTTTCAGAGTTTGAGGCTGGGCTGGACCAGTGAAGGCATCGGAAAAAGGACGGACGGTGCTGGAAAAAGCTTGGCACGTCTAGTCATCCGGATTCAAAGCAAGCAGGGAACGGGCAGTGGGAACTCTGGAACACGAGTCATATTTTGCCTGTGTTTAGTTAGCTGAATTTTGAAAATTTGGCTATTGTAGCACTTTCGTTTTTATTTGGTAATTAGTGTTTAATTATAGACTAATTAAGCTCAAAACGTTCGTCTCGTAATTTTCCACCAAACTGTACAATTAGTTTTTTTTTCGTCTACATTTAATGCTCCATGCACGTATCGCAAGATTTGATGTGATGGATACTGTAGCACTTTTTAAGAAATCTTTTTGTAACTAAACACGGGCTTTGTTCCTTATTCGGTGAGAGCCTGAGAGGCATGTGCCCTGTTCGCGTGGCTGATAAGCCATGACTGAAAGTACTGTTGGCTGATTTGTTATGAGAGAAAAATATTATTTGTTAATTAAAAAAAATACGACTTATAAACCAAACCAACGAGACGATCATAGGTGAAACGTGAAAGGAAGCTGCCAAGGAGGATGATCGGAGATGGCATGCGTTCTGTCAGCCAGTACAAGGTCAGGATCGAACGTACCTATCGACTCGATTTGCAGGCTTTCTTTTCGCGAGAAACAGATCTTTGCGAATTTCGAATCATTGATCTCGTACTTATTATATTATATTATATTATATTATATTATATTATATTATATTATATTATATTATATTATATTATATTATATTATATTATATATTGGATTTAGAGTAAGATATGAATATCAATTAGGGTATGTTTGTACGTAGATATTGAAGACCCTGGAATTGAATTGGTACTAATATCAAATCGGACTTATATTGAAAACGGATGCCAATACCAAAGTGGCTATTTGGATGGAGATAGAATTGCTAGCTGGAAACAAATGCAGTGTCAAAATACAGATTCATGTTTGGATGTGCAGAATTGGCAAATTGATCCATCTTCTTCCACTCTTCCACTCGACGTCGACGGGTATGGAGGGGGCGCTGCACTGGTAGGCGCTCGCTGCCGGAGCCGGCCGCCCCGAGTGCCTCAACCTCGACGGGCATGGCGTGAAATCTTCCTCTCCAGGCTACTCGCCTACTCCGACGAGGGGGGAGGGGTGCGCGGAGAGCCCCCGACGAGTGGGGTGGAGGGGGCGCGTGAGGGGGCGGTGGGGTGTGGGGTGGAGGGGGCGCGCGAGTGGGGCGGCCACGACGAGGGGAGCTCGACCCTAGCCATGGTCCCCGCTCACGACGAGCGGAGCAGCGGAGAGTGGGGCGGAGGAGCGCCGATGGGAGAGCTCGACCGGCCATGGCGGATCTCGGCAGCCGGCAGATGATGGGGAAGAAGGGGGTGTCGATGGGGAAGAAGGGGGCGCCCATGGGGGAGCTGGACCGGCCATGGCAGATCTCGGTGGAACTCGGCGTCACGCGACGACTTTTTTCACGTGGAGAAAAATGGCCCGATTCAAGTGAGTACAGAGAGGAAGGCCTTTATATTGTGGGCGGGGTCGAGCAGGCAGGTCGAATGCCATGCGGTATTGGAGCTTGTTTCCACCCGCGAATACCAAGACCATTCAAATAATAGAATTGGGGGTATCCAATGCCAATGCCAAATTTCAGGCATCAATACCAATATCCAAACGAGCTGTTAGACATATATAAAAATGCGAATTGTCTCGATCATAGAAACAACGTCCATATGACACATGTGTTGCACTTTTGAAGCCTAGCATTGTAAGTCCCCAAGCGGCCTGCAATATTTCACGTGTTTGATTGCGTACCTAGCCTGGGTACCGCTGGCAAGCATCGGTCGCAGCCCAGGCATCCAAAATCGGACGCCTCACTACGCCAGGGAACACTGCCTAGGCCAGGTGTGACCTAGCTGGCACAAACAAAAAAAGCCCATAGTGTCACACTCGCAATTATACAACAACTACTAGCCGAGATCTTGCCAGTACAAACAGTAGCTGCAAATAATATATGAAAACACACTAAAGGGAGAGGGATCGTGTGTGCAGAGAGCTAGCATGCCGTCAGATCATGAGAGCATCTACCGAGAGTATTTCTTAAACTTACTTTCTAAAACATTATTTAAAAGTTATTTAAATAAAAGTCATTCTCCATATCTTTACACCCTCCAACATATATATAATCTATATTTTGTGCACACTCTAGAGAGTTAGCTCTGCTTTTTAGCTTTGACTAGCGAGAAATCTAGAATAGAAGTGATAATATTTAGTTATTTACATATGTAATTAAAGAAAATTATTGGAGGATATGTTTGCAGTATCTACCTCTAGCAACGAGAAATGATATAAAGAAGAGGCTATTG